AAATTATTTTAGATGGCAAATCAATGAAATTTTATCCCCATGAAAATTTTTGCTTCTAATTCTGTAACCGCGATTGGAATCTAAGACCATTTTAAATGAAGCAAAGGCTCATGTACCGGTATAACTTTGAATTTAGATATTTTGAATTTCGTTAAAGATTTCTTTTTAATTTAAAAGTTGCAATTTTAATACAATATTCAAATTAAAACAACCGATGGAAAGAGCTAAATTTGTTAAGAGGGCTTCTGGGCCCCTAAGATTTATGAATTTACAAAATACCTAAGAAGATGATAATTTGTATTGAATGAATTAAACACTCTTTATATTAAATGAATATATGGAGATAATTTCGATTTTCGTTGTAGTATAATTTTTCACGGTGTTTGAAAACCATATACTTCGGCTTATTTACTATAATGGCACCCATTCCTTACTTACTATTAAGCATTTATATATGAGCGCAAGTGAGAACATAAACGATTTTCAGTATAAATATGAAAATATAAATTCTTTAAATTATATGTAAATTTCATGCATGTTCTCAACTGCGCTCATGGTCAAATTTCGAAAATTGTTTGTTTTCGAGACCTAATTTTGGCATCGGGATCGGAATACACATTTAATTGTTGCTTAGAAGATGTAAACAGACGTCTGAGACGATGAGAGGCAGGCTGATTAAACACGCCTTCAAAGGTAATAGGTTCATTAAAAAATAAAATATATTAATTTAGTATAAGAATAACCTTTAATCATGTTTAAAGTTTGTTTGAAAAATATTTTAATGTGATTTAAAACCAATACTCTTGACAGCTCTAGGATGTCAAGTCTACGCTGAACATAACATTGTAGTTTTTTTTCAAAGTGCGCATGAGTTGTTTCCGATAGTATAACGATAATATTACGTCTCTTATTAATTTCCAGTTAACTGGTATGCATATAATTTTTTTTTATCTTTGGCAAGGCATAAACAGGTCCAGTACAATCTCTTGATTTAGCTATATAGCTTTAAATAGCTATATAGCTTTATTATGCTATTCAGTATAGCTTAATTTAGCTATTTTACTCTAATTTTTTCTCAAAGGTGTAATTTTCTCAGTATGTACAAAAAAGCGCACCTTGGTGCAGTGATGATATACAACTTTGAACTCTTCTTAAAATAATGCATGTAAAATTCACTCATCAAATTACGTCTCCTTGAGAGACTTTGTACTCAAAGGTTTACAAGTTTTGGGGCTATATAAAGCAATTGATACAGTTACTTCTGCAATGATATTATAATGGAGACCAATTATGTTCAACAAGATAATTGATTGGTAACAGTTCAGCACAATGAGAAGCAATCATGCCTCAAGGCACCCAAGGTAGTGGACAGTTAGTCTAACAATAGAAATTCTCTTTTGCTTAAAAGTATTCAAAAGCTGCAAAGGTAGAACTATCTTTGATTTTGGTTGTTGTTTTGATAGCCCATAGTACAAATATGAAGAGTCAAATACATGCGACTTTTTGTTTATTTTCAGGAAAAAACACTTTTGTGAAAAGCTGTATAAAAATAGCTAAATAAAGCTATTTTGAATAGCTTAATAAAGCTACCTGTATGAATTATAAAGGCGGATTCCGCCTGGAATTTGGGTGGAGTTGAGCAGGAATCGGCAAATTCCGGGCGTACTTGAGGCGGAGACGGAATTTTCAAAAAGAAGAAGAGACGTCTTACAGGCGTCATTTGTATTTTCCGGGCGTCAATTGGCAAGTTCAGATTTTCCGGGCGTAAAATAGCAGGAAAATAGAAAAAAATTACGCCTGGAACTTTCAGGAGAAGTAAAAGCCTCTGATTGGTCAATTTAATTATCAATTAAGGGTCATTTCAGATAGGGGTTAAGTTTGAATTTGATCATGAAGGAGGGAGTTTAGTGTGGGTGAAATAGGAAATGCAGATATTTCAAGGTTAAGGCTTTTACACTTCTTCTGGATAACACAGTATCTGCTGGTAGGTGTGATCATTAATTAATCTGGTACCTTTTTGAGTAAATTTGATTAGGATAATGTAGAATGATTATAGTTATAACTTGTTGACCCTAAAATTACTTTAGATATTTGAGTTTCCTTGCACACATTTCTGAGAAATAACAGTCTGATAGTGACAGGCTGCAGTGAGTCTGAGGAACTGTAAACTACTGAGTAAATGAAGAATTGTATTGAGTAACTAAATTGTTTCAATATGATTACTTAAGGGATAAAATGTACCGGTATTGTAAAAAGTTTGTTTAATTCTAAATACACACTCAATCTTGGATGTTTTTAAGTGTCCCTTAATACACAAAATTTATGTTATATTTTGCTATATGTTAATGACCCGACATTATGTTTTCTTACAATTCAAAATGCTGAATTTTTAGCTCTAACATTGTAAATCATAATCTAATGTTTTTCTTTGTTAACATTGGTAAATATATAGGTTTTTAGGTCACATAGTATTATATAATAATAAGGACATTCCAGGCGTAATTCTATTCCAGGCGTAATTTTATTTTCCAGGCGTAATTTTTTTCCGGGCGTCATTTATTTTTCCGGGCGTAGCTCATTTGCATTTTTCGCCTCATATTCCTGCCCAATTCCTCTTGTTTTCCGCTTGGGTTACTCCTGGAACCTGTGTATCACCATATATAGAGAGACAAACTGACGCCCGGAATTCACTCTCCAAGTACGCCTCAATTCCCCCTATATTCCGGGTGGAACATTTCGTACAGGTATATAGCTATTTAAAGCTATATAGCTAAATCAGGAGATTGTACTGGACCTGATAAAACTGCATCATATTTGTTGCTACGGATTCGGGTCAATGAAAAGTTTCCAATAGTTCGATCATAGGCGCTCCCCATGTAAATCTGTAAATGACGAAATATAAGTATATATAGGTCTACCCCCTCTATACTATAGAGGGGTAGACCTATATATACTTATATTTCGTCATTTACAGATTTACATAGGGAGCGGCTATGAGTTCTATAAGTATGGTGGGTCACTAGGGTGTAAATCAATGGGGCCCTATTGCTATACATTAGGGTGTAAACCACTCCAAAAAAAATTATATATACATATACACAAAAATAAGAATTATAAAATAGTTAGGTATTTGTTTTATCTTATAATAGCCTTGTATTTTCTTTCAGACATTTGTCCTGAGGTTTACAGCAACAATTTGCACACAAAATTATTACATTTATGGCTTATGAAATAAGGACATTAAGGTAAGCAGATTGTGTCCCAATATACAGAAAAATATCTTCTTTGTTTCCTGTATATAAAAGCATATTCCAGTTAATTTAATTATCAAACAGTAACAGAGGTGGTTATTTTCAAAGAAAAACCTCCCAAGATTAAATTTATTTATACACATAAAACTGCAATGAGATGGGGAAAGATTTTGCTGTGTTTGAGAATCAGTAAGTGTGCTAGTATTTACTTGAAAATATTGAATGTTGATTGAATAATAAAATGGTAAAAAGGAAAAATATTAGAACAATATTTGATTTAAGTTAACAAGAACAAATGGGAAAAAAGATATTTGAATCTATTAACCTAAGAATTTAACTATTGGTCATGATTAGTATATGATGGGCACTTGAAAAGTTAGCAGTGTGGTTTTATATTATAATAGCTGCAGATCTGTAGCTCTCCAAAAAAATAACTTGACAGACTGGAGAGCTACAGTGCCTGGCACCCATTGAAAAAACTGTATATTTATTGCGCACAGAAAGTGCGCTGTTTATCGATTTATTTCTCCATGTTTTTAAGAACTATAATATCAAAATATTACTAATCATGTATTCTTAACATAATCTTTCACTGCATCCACAACAAAACATACCTTATGGTTGTTGTTTATAGCCCTCCTGGCCCTGAAATTGAGATCATCGAAAATTTTGTCTGTTTATACTGCCATTTTGGTTTGTAAGATAATTCGGCCTAACTCGCTTCGTGTAGATGTCAGCTACGAAAGTACTTGATAGTAGAGTGCACAATTTTTTTGAAATCTGATTTTTTTGCAATCGAGGTAAGAATTTGGAAGAATTAATCCATTACACAAGCGCAACATTTTGTGCGCAATAAATATACATGCAGTTTTTTCAGTGGGTCATGGCACTGTAGCTCTCCGGTCTATCAATATATTTTTCGGAGAGCTACAGTTCTGCAGCTAATATTATAACAGAAAGAGGGTGTGACTGTTAACTTTTTTATACAAAAAAATAATAATAATAATAAAAGCATTAACATAGAATTTAAATTTCCTAAAACAAAAGAAGATGGTGGCTATAGCCCTTCAAATGACATTTTCAAACTTAATTAAAAGTAAGATTTAGGTTTAGAGAAAAGTCAAAAGAGAGTTCTGATACACATAGTATTAGCATTAATTCCCCTTTGACAAATTCCCAGTTTGAATGAACAGTGACAGTGTGTGTAGTAGCCTTCAATGAATAGTTCAGTAGTCAGATAGTTTAACATTCCTTGTCAGTGTGGATACACATGAACATATGCTATAAATGATTTGCTTGTCACATTATTAAATCCTAATAATTTCATTTAGAGCACTCAGAGATAACTGTTTAACATAATCTCCTCCAGGATATCAGTTTAGCTGTAATTTTATTTTTTGTCTCTCTCCACATAATTAAAATAAATAAATCTGCAATACAAGCATGCAACAGAGATATTTCAGAATTAGTTTGGATTATGATAAATGATTGCAATGATGAAAAACTGATTTTATTTTCCATTTTTAGCAATTATTTCTTCGTTGGACAATGGTAAAATCAATTATCTGCTGTTTTTGTGAGAAGCGCTGCCAGATTGGGAATAGTAGACACTGTTTTACTGGTGTTTTAAACATATACCTTACCAAAGAATTGCAGCGTGTAATTACTGATACGGATCGTCTGTGCTCACGATGTACTGCTAAGATTTACAAAGAAACAAGGTCAACTCTTTCTACGAGAAGTCGAACCATGCAAATTAACATGCTAGAGGATAATGAGGATGATCATTCTCAAACATTTGCGTCCCCAAAATCTATCAAACTGCATATCAAATCAGCGCCAAAGACTCATCGCTACTGTATTGTGTGCAAAAAAGAAGCAGGTCATCGCCATCGATTGATACAAGTCTCTTCAGATGCCAGGACCCAAGTATTTGTTGAAAAGGGAATTTTCATTTTACAGAAAAATCGTTGTTGCAAAAAGCACATGAATGATAAATACTTCACATCAGCAGCATTGCAAGAACTGCAGTCATCAAAGGATTTTGAATTCTTTTCACGCACAGATATACTGGATCTTTTAAATAATCTTAGGCGAAAAATGAAATCAACATCTTCCCATTTGAACTTTGATGTGTCATCTCAGTTGACAGAAGATAACTATAAGGATCTGACTGGGTTGACAAAAGAAAATTTCAGTGATATGGTTCAGTATTTGTCAACCGTGAGAAATACTGGAAACAGATCAGTCAGGACATGCCTTGGCATATTTCTTATGAAATTGAGGGTTGGATTGGCGAATAAAATTCTGGCCACAATATTTGGATTAAAGACAACTCACATTCAAAGAATTATACATGCAGTAAGGAGAACGCTCATGGAAACATTTGTTCCGCACACAGTGGGTTTTCAACATATCAACCATGATGACATGGCCACCAGTCACACCACTCCAATAGCTCAGAAGTTGTTTACAACCCAGCCAGGCCAAGCTGTTGTAGTCCTTGACGGAACATACATCTTTATTCAGAAGAGTCAAGACTATCGATTTCAGAGAATGTCCTTTAGTATGCACAAGCATAGACCGTTGGTCAAACCCATGGTCATTGTTGGAACAGACGGATATATATTGTCAGTATTAGGACCATACTTCTCAGATGGCCATAACAATGATGCAGCTATCACAAAGCATGCCATAACAAACAACGTGGAAAACATGGCATCTTGGTTTCAGAAAGATGACATCTTTCTGGTTGACAGAGGATTTAAGGATGCCGTGAAGTTTTTAGAGGACAGTGGTTACATGGTAAAAATGCCCATCTGTCTCCCAAAAGGGTCGAAACAACTTTCCACCCAAGATGCCAATCTTACACGCCTAGTAACAAAATGCCGATGGGTTGTAGAGAGTACAAATGCTAGGATCAAACACTTTCGTTTTTTTGATAAGATTGTTCCCAACAGCATGATTCCAAGCATTGGAGACCTTGTAAAAATTATTTGTGGATTGCTGAACAAATATAAGGGGGCATTAATTCAACAGCCAGAGGATGATGAAGTGGCAAGAAAGATGCTGGAACGGTCACTTATGGAAAATCCTTTGAAACTGTTTGTGGAAGAAAACAATTTGGCTAGACGAAGATCTGCATATAGAAAACTCGATGGAGAATCATTACAGGACTTTCCTAGACTATCTCTAGATATTTTGAGATCCATTACCCTAGGAGTCTATCAAATCAAGCAAGCACCAAACTATGCACGTGAGCATATATCGGAAGAAGGAAATTTTGATTTGTTGGTCTGCAAAGAGAATGAATCGCTACTGCAGGTTAAGATCCAGTCAAGACATACAAAGGCTGCAGTTCATACTCTCTGGATTGACTACTCTTGTGGAACAGATCTCCCTATTAAAGGCTGGTACTGCACTTGTAAAGTTGGAGCCAGAATGGTCGGGTGCTGCGCTCATGTAGCGAGTGTCTTATGGTATCTTGGCATAGAGAGACACGACAAAGTTCTGAAACCATCTCGATTGTCCTCTACAACAGCAGTCTTCCATTGTAGAGAACATGAAACTTAACATAATTATGTAGATGCATGTACCTGGTATAGAAAGAATCTCTTGTTTATTGAATATAACCATTGTTGTAACATAAAATCATTTTTAGAATCTTTCAAGCCATTTGAGATCTACAATGAGAGTCATTGTATTTTCATAAGATGAAACTGATTTCACTTTTTTCAGGTTTTAAAAAAACATTTTTTAAATGTGTAAAATCACTAAAGTAATTTTTTCTGTATCAAAATATTTGAGCATACACACTTGTGAACTCTACATACGTTCAGTCTCTAATGTATAAGCATGATAAGTATACAATAGAATGTGAACTCTACATACTTTGAGTCTCTAATGTATAAGTATACAATAGAATGATGTCTATGATCTTAACAAAAGTATCTTTCATCTTTTTAAATACACTGTAATTAATCAATTGTTCTATCAGTTATGAAAAAATAAGTAGTTTATTCAAAATTACTTGAACCATTTATGTAATTATGGAGAAAAATGAAATATAACTTAAACTATAAGTACTTGCTTCCTTATTACTATCTCTCAGTTGTTGCCATGGAAACAGATACTTAATTTTATTATAATTCATTAATTTAAAATTTCTTTTTTTGGATCAATTAAGTGATGAACTGAATTGCTTTTTTTGTAAATATTCCGTAAATGATACAGGTGCATTTATGAATCTATGCCAAACATAGTCAGATTCCAAGGTTTGGTTTTTGAAGGCTGTTTCCATGGAAACGAGTGGGTTGAACAATGAAAGATATATTTCATGAGTTACTTGATGACCTCAACATCTACCATGATCAATAAAAAAAAATTTCAAGTAGGGGCCTAAACAAGCCCTTAACACATATAGCTCTTTGTTTCATTTTCAAAGTTTTCCAAAAGTTGTACTTTTTTGAAAGTTGACTAAGTCAGTTCCTATATGGGGCCTGATATCTGATCATGTTTAAAATAAATATTCTAAGTTGCATAGTTACCATCCAATAAATTCAAAATTGTGAACATGACAATAATGCTCATTTTTATATCTCGTGAATCAACAACTGAAATCGTGTAAAAGATTTTTTTTCCACATATTCATGCAATGCTTGTTTTAATATTGGAACAAGTAAGCTGTAAATGTAAATACGAGTATATGTTATAATTCTGGCTTGTTTTTGGGAAAAAATATCACGAACGTACATGAGCTTTAGGGACTTGAAAATTTGTTTTATTTATTTTTTCTTTTAATGGATAAAATGGCATTTCTTGGTTTTCTCAATCATGCTTTCAAGTGTGCTTTGCATTTCATTGCATAACTCCTACATAAACATGGGGATGTCACTGTATCTTTAAATTTTATGGTTCAATACCACAGGCGCTTGACGTTTTTAACTTTTCTCTTTATAAATAAAAATTCCCATACTATAATAACCTTATTATTATAATATGAAGAATTTTGATCTCATTTATTTCATATAAATTGAAAACATCAAGCACCTGTGTACGAAACAAAAAATCCTATTATGAATTAGAAAAACGAAGGTAAATTCAGTAATATACAAAGAGTTATAAAGATGTTTTAAACATTTTCCACGCTTTTACAATTGTGTCAAATACCTAGCAAGAATGAATTCATTCCCCGTTTTAAAATATTGAAAATAATCAAGATACAATGTAAATATATCACTGATCGCAATTGGGAAAAATGCAAAAAGTTGTACATGTTTGGGAAATTTCTACATAAAGTCATAAATGGATCAAACTGTTTTCAGATACGTTGTTTGTCCGATTCACGGGTGGGGGGAGGGGTGTCTTTGGACCAAGTCTGTCATGTCAATATCGTCTCCGACAACATCCCGACGTCAGAATTATGGCGGGGTGTGTTCGATGTGTAATTTTGATTACCCAAACCTCGCACTCCCGCGAAGTTTCAACTTCAAAACGATGATGAAAAATCTGTCGCCCGGGAAATAAAATACCGCACCGGTCAAGGGGACGGGCCGAGATGAATGAAAGTCGGCGATTTATTGGGTAATTCAACACGATTTTCCCAATAAACTCAATCAACGAATGACGACCCATCAATGACTGCCTAACTTAATCGCGTTGGATATGATAATTTATTCGTGTTTCCCGGACTCATATTTTAGCCATTAATGTGGTTTTGAGTGAACAGGGGGTCAAGATTTGCTTTGTCTCTCTGCCTGTTGTACAGGGCGGGCTCGGGTACCCACTGTCGCATGCCATTCGCAGTGATTGAAAAAGGTTCTACAATCCCAGAAAAATCAGATTCTGAAAAATCTTTCAATCTTATTATTTTTATTAATTATTGCTTAAATTATTTTTCATATTGTGCTTAGAATCATTTTATGCGTATAGAACCATTAAAAAACATACTCATTTTTATCTAAATTCCTGCCATTCGTTGCTATAAAAAAAATCTAGGAAAATTATTTTTTGATATATATGCAATATTGCAATTGTGCATTTGTCTACTTTGCCAATGCATCCAATCTGTTTTATATCTCAACAACTGGAAGTCAAATTTTTGAAGATAATTGCATTGGAAATACCTAAATAAGTTTAAAATTTGTAATTATAAAAAAAAAATGAAAAACAAATTTTGAAATTTTTTAGCTAAAACTGCATGTGTTCCTTTAACAAGCAGAGAAAACTGTGATAATCTGATTCACAAGCAGTGTTAACGTTAAATTTGTTTATTCCATATACAAGTACTTGTAGGTAAAAAGGCTGTAGCCTACATGTCATTTTTATACTCAATTTGTGAAAATTAAATATAAATAGTTTGTTTGAAAAAGGGGAAAAAAGATAAGGAAATGAGCCAATTAATATTTATGTTTGATTTCAAATGCAAAAAAGTGGCGGTTCTTGATTTGATTAGAACATATTTTATTGTATATACTTTACAATTGGGATTGGGCAAAAGTTCTAAAAACTTATTACGCCCTCTCCCTACATATACATTATACCAAACATATTTACACAGTGGGTTTCAGCTTAAAATGAAATAACACAGAAAAAATATAATACATAATAATCAAAGTATAACACATTCAATAGAATACATTCATATGTAATAAACATGCCGTATAAGATTTACAATTAGAAATAATTACTGTATCAACCAAATCGTCCTGACTTTTTAATAAAAGTTTGTACAATAGAAAATAGATATTCATTTTCAACATCATTTAACGATTTGTCTCCCCAGAGTAAAGTGTGAGTATTGACAGTATGTATTTTACCCATTCGCAAAAATTTGTCAAAAAATTCTTTCCTGGCTTCTGTATATTTTTTGCATGAGAAGAAATAATGATGAGTATCCTCTACTCTTCCACAAGAACATAGTGGACTCAAGATTACATTACATCGAAAAAGTCGGTTCTTAGCAAATTGCATTTTATTTATTCAACAATTAAATAAAAAATGTTTACGAATTTATATGTTTTGGTTTTATTAGGAAACCATAACACAAAGGGCATGGTCATGTGTATTCAAAAAGGTTGTTAATTTCATCTTACCTAATTAAGCACCGTAAAGGTTTAAATTGTAAATAATGATAATTGTTTTAAAAATGCGTATTTATTACTATATATTGACTGAACAAATATGACAATCATGGATATATGTCTTTTAAAATTCAAAAATTCTAGGACAACTATTTTCATTTCATTTGATACTTGGATCAGAATACATGTGTAAAAATGTAATATAAATGGCATTCCAAAAAAAAAAAATCATTTTCATTACATTAATGTAATTCTGGTCGTCTTTCGTGAAGTAATTCATAAGCAAACTTTTTAAGTACATGCTTATTTTCAGAAATTATATAGGTAAACGTGAGGTAGAGTAAAATTGAGAAGAAGGTTATTGGAAATTTCGAATTTTACTGATGCTGCATTTTAAATTAGGTATTTCAAGCAATACTACAACGAATTAGCATGATTAGACTAGTCAACAATTACATCATTTCTACCAAACTCAAGTTTAAAATTCTATAATCAAGGATAATTATGAATCTAACCCCCCCCACCCACCACCCCCCCCCACCCACCACCCCCCCCCCCCCCCAAAAAAAAAAGAGAGAGAGAGAAAAATTGCAGTGTATATGGCTGAATTTTGTTACTTTATTCGCCCTTATTGGCAAATCCGAAGACCTAATTAATACAGTTTGACAAGAGTTACTCCTCTTTAACAGCGAACTCTTTTATTTACTGAGGCTAAAATAGCACATTCGGGAAAACAAGAAGAAAAGATTCACTTAGATTGCACAAGTCTGACAAGTTGTTGACAAAATGAGGGTTTATTAGTCTATTCTACATCGGCAAACACCATCACAATGCCTGTCAAATGTAACCTCTGTGATTCTGGAGCTATTTTGAAGCGACCAAAAACAGTAAGTCTGTGAAAAAATCATTCAGACCTACCGAATACACGTGACATCTCGAATTTTCTCCTTTTCATTAGTTTTCCCATGAGGAGAGAAAGACAGAAAGAAACGGCCATCGCAGTCAAGTAAACATTTGTTAAGACAAAGTTAATTATATTTTTTACTGATTAATTTGTCATATGATCATAAATTCATAATGATGATCTAGGACTATAACACTGTGCACCATCTAACTTTGATTTTAATGTTTTATTGATTTTCATTAAATCTATTCTATCGCATTAAATTTTCAATTGAAACTAACTAATTTCAAGTGGACAAAATTCATAGCTAAAGTTTCTTCATATGAGTCATGGCACTGACATTGCTGATGGTGAAATGTAAATTATGGTTGGGAAAAGTTTTTGTTGTGGAGCACATTAAATGTCTGATTTGTTTGCTAATGTAAATACCCAGATCATTTTCATTCTGAAGTCAACTGGGAAACAGCAGGCCACCAATTTAACGAGGGTTGCTTTTCTGCAAATAATTAGGTAGTTTTTCCAGTAGAATGCTGGGACTTCATAAAGGATTTAATAGAATATTATTTCATCAGCTGTCCAAAGTTAAATGCTATCAGTACATAAAATATGTCTATGGTCTGTAAAGTGATTCCAAGCAGTATAAAGGCGGACCTAGAGGGTCTGGGGATCCATCACCTTTTTGATGAGATTATCATATAATTAGAGCTGAATTTGAAACCGATTCTATGCATCTTATTTTAAGGAACTGAAAAGTTCTACCTTTAGAATCGGTCTTCACTTGTCAATCGGGAAAAGAGCACCTGGGTATTAGCGTAGCATATATTTCCCTAGGAGTGAAAAAACTTAATTAAGGCAAGCGGCTCTGGTTTCTATTTTAAGCCCGCCCCTCTCAGATATTCAACCCCAAAAGCCAAATACATATGGGAAAGAGAGGGGAAAGCATTGAGCACCAGTTGTTTTTGTGAAGATCTTGGGCCTGAAGTGATTGCTTTGATGTTTCACAACCTTAGATCTGATAGGACTCAGTCAAGACCATCTTTACCCTGGATTTAAAGAGTTGCTGCAAGGCAACACGGAGAGGGGCATGCTGTGAAAATTGGAAGTTGGAAGATATAGGGCTGGAAGCAATTTTACAGAGCCAGTACTTAATTTTTGAAACAAACAGGGACAGGACGTATGAAGAAATCAGATTTTTAATTATGTTTCATATTAATTATCTGTATAACCAGGATATATAGATTTATCCATATTTAAATGTGGGTTTTTTTCCGTTGACAGTCAGCATGGTCATGCAGAGTGCATTTTAATATGCAATGCAGTATAGATACTTCTTTCTCTTCATTTGTTCTTAAAGACTGCTTTCAGGAGCTTTCAAATAATGCATAAGTTACACATTTACACAGTATTCATCATGATCATGATCATGACCATGGCAATATATACATGTGTATAGTATTTATGTTATTAATAATATGTTTTAAAAGAAATCATTAAGTAACTATGATTTTTTTTTTTTAAGTAGTCAAGGCCATTTCTAATAAATGTCATATTTATTGTTTACAAATAAATCACCCAGTCTATTATCTAAATGATTAGATGATTATAAATGCTTTAGAAAAAATAAAAAGAAAGCAGGATAATGTTGATCCTAGCATGTCAACCAAATGTATTTCTAAAAAGGAAAATATTTTAGACATGTTACATCTAGACAGCAGGCCAGAGTAAATTTAATGTAAGTTCTCTCCATCCAGTTTCAATTTTGACTTTGTGGCTGTCTCATGGCTGTGGGAGCTTTTGTTGATACTATCAAGATCAAATGACAGAAAGACTTTGTCATCTCTATGAATTTGTTGTAATAAACATGTCGGAAAACCTGGAGATGAAATTGATTCAAGTGTGAGTTTTTCTGTCTGTTCTCCCAACGGAACATTTCAAAAACCTCCCGTCCGACATCTGCACAAATACACGCCCGACTAAGGAAATCCCAAATTAACTAATTAGGAATAAATAAACGCACGCTTCATGTTGAACGATTTAATTTGCTGGGACAATGGGATGCGCCCGGCGAGTGTCTCGAGTCCCGAGACCAGAGTGACAATCTACGCACATCAGCGCAAATCAGGCGCAAGAGATCGAGTCGTAACAGAATGCTGTTAATAAGTTTTCTGTCAGGGAAGGAAAAATTTGTCAGCGGGGATCCGTCTCCTTGACAAGATATCTTTGTCACGCTTCAGCGGTTTGTCCTGGTGGAGATAAACCGATTTTAAATAGCATTAAATACTGGGACTTGCTGATGAGATTGTTTTGTGCGTAATCATTGGAGGCCTAAATTACCGTCCAGGGCTATTTTTCTCAGTGGATGACCAAATCTAGACCCTGGCTGTTTAATTTAAAAGTGGGAGGGTCCAAGTTCCTCTCATCCTATTTAGCCCTAAAGTGAATACTTTGCTGTAACAATAAACATGATAAAGTATATTGTTACTCTTTAAAGAAATGTATGAAATCAATGAAGTTAATTTTACTACCGGGGTATTTAGATTCTTTTCTCATAACATTAAGTTTAATACCATCATTTTAACCATTTACATTCTTATGCAAGACTCATTTGTAGATTTGCGAATAGTATGAGTATTGTAATCATGGTTACATTGCACCCTATACTGCTATAGTGTAATAATCTTGATTTGTTACACTCCGAAAGAACCCTGAAAACTAAAATTGATCATTTAAGAAAAGACCTACCTACAGGTTAATTAAATATTGCCTCAGCATCTGCATTGCAAACAAAAAATATTATGGCTTGGCTTAATGCAATAACTCTTCATATTTTTTACAGGGGGATGCCTTGTGTAAGAACTGTTTTTACTTTGCCTTTGAAGAGGAGGTACATAAAACCATCACAGATGCCAATCTCTTTGTTAGAGGGGAAACGGTAGCCATTGGAGCCTCAGGCGGAAAAGGTTAGGATTAGAAATTTTACTGAAAGTTATATTTATGCATATAATATTTTATCTTTTAAAATATCCTTTCATTTTCAAAATTGATATGATCTATACTTATATGTACATGCTACGCTTTCACACTCCCTTTAAAGTTTATTTAAAAAAAAAACATTTTCATATTGTTACCAGATTCCACTGTGCTGGCTTACGTCCTTAAGGTCCTGAACCAGAGGTACGACTACGGTGTTAACCTGGTACTGCTGTCCGTGGACGAGGGGATCACCGGGTACAGGGATGATTCCCTAGAGGTAAGCTCCCTCATTCTTTTTTTCTCATGTCCCTTCCAAACTGGGTTAAAGAATATTTGGTACAGTTGTCTGTTGGTGGGATATTTGTTCATGTATATGGAGTACTTGTGTATAAAGGGAATATACAGAACTGGGATTACATTCTTCAGTAAATTCAATTGTTTAAAATGTAGAATAAGCCAGAATCAGGAGGAATTTATTTGCTGTTTACAACAAAAAATGGTTAGAAGCTAGTCAAAAGTTTGTACATCAAAATAGTTAATGATTTCTGCTACAGAGATAACAAACAATACAAATTTTGAAGCAAAGGAAACATGGACCTCTTGATCATCAGAGGTGGGGTAAGGTGCCATCATGTGCCATGGAGGAGTGAGCAGCCCCTGACAAGATTACAGCATCCAATTAGTTGAAACAATATATTTTACATAGTCAAGCACATTTTCATGAACGCAAGAAGCATTTTAGTAAGTTGATGACTACAAAGCAATGCTGAAAGTCCAATAAAAAAGAAGCTGTCATTATGAAAAGAAAATTAAAATCAGAAGCTTCTAGTTGTAGTTGTCTTGCTTGTTCCATGTTGGCAAGCTGGTCAACTGAATCTGTTCATTAGATACAGATTTGTTTATCTTTAATTGCTTATCACAATGTATATGTTAGTATGTATGTTTTGTCATCAGCTTATGTCTTCCTGATTGTTACAGACGGTTAAGAGGAATCAGCAGCAGTATGAGCTGCCCCTAAAGATTGTGTCGTATGAGGAGCTGTATGGATGGACCATGGACGCCATTGTCAAACAGATCGGTCTGAAAAATAACTGTATGTATCTTATGCTAAATCTGTCAATAGTTAAAACATTAAAATTGTCACAGGTCTGAACAAATATAAAAGACCCTTACTGCAGTAGCAGGGGTATGCCTCTATTGAATATGCATTCTAACAGAATCTTACTTTTACCGAATTTATTAGATTTACATACATGTAGAATTCATAGAAATTAGATTGAATATCATCATCTGAGAATCAGACTTGGCTAATTCTGCTTCAAGTTTCAAATTCTTAAAATATCTTGATGTTGTCTGATCAGATAGTCAACTAGAGATACTGAGATCTGTCCATAGAGGTCTGTGTTGAATCAGATGTGAATTCTATAAAAATGTTATATCTTTAGGTACTTTCTGCGGAGTGTTCAGGCGCCAGGCTTTGGATAGAGGAGCCCTTCTGATGAAAGTGGACAGGATAGTAACAGGTTAGTTGTAGGATGGTAACAGGTCAGATATAGGATAGTAACAGGTTAGTTATAGGATAGTTATAAAATGATACAGCTTTACCTTTTGTAAAATGTTTCATGAAAGCATAAGTATCATCACTGAATAAAGTTACATAAAGATGGAAAAAATTCTTTATTATAATTGTGGTCTAAAACAAGTTTCGTCCATTTATTTGATATGGTTATTTGAAAATGTTTTATTTATCATTCTATTCTTTTGAACAAGTAGTCTTTGATACAGTTCGTATTTCATTATGCTGTTTTTTCTTCATTTTTAGGACACAATGCAGATGACATAGCTGAGACTGTGATAATGAATGGTAAGTTAAACATATTAGAATTGAACAACTTCTGTAAAATCACTGACAAAGGTCAAATTTTAGTGATTTTAATTTATAAAAATTATATCATGATAAAATCTTCAATTTGTGTGATAAATTTTTACTTTGTATATATTTACAGTGCTGAGAGGTGATATAGGAAGATTACAGAGGTGTACAGCAATCACCACGGTATTAATAAACAGTGGTGTCAGATGTAAATTACACAAAACATACAACCATTTGTTATAACTTGGGCTGTGTTCAAGATGGTAGTGGCTACCTAGCTTTTCTGATATAGCTGCTTCAATTTTGAACGATATGATAACTTAACAATAACAAGGTTTTAAAAATAAATAATTGAATTCATGAATTTGAAGAATGAACAAGATAATTTCAAAAATTATATTTATTACAGGGTAATGAGGGTGCCCTCCCCAGAAGTAAACCATTCAAGTATACTTACGAGAAAGAGATTGTCATGTAAGTCATTGTTTTAGATCTGAAGCACAATTTTTTGATACCTGAGTGAAAAGAACTTTTAGTACATTTAGAGAAATAGACAATATACATGTAATTTATTTCCTTTTACTAGGTATGCCTACTTTAAGAAGCTGGATTACTTCTCCACCGAATGTATATATTCACCCAATGCTTATAGGTAAGACTCTTCTATGTCTTTCAAAATGAATTAATATATCATTTTAATTTTTGAATGTAAGTTTTGTATAATTTGATCCTTTTTTCTTTGTCTAGGGGATTTGCTAGGGCTTACATAAAAGACTTGGAAAAAATCCGACCTAGGGCAATAATTGGTAGGTCAAAATCTCAAACATCAATTTAAAATTTTTTTTTACAAAAAGTAGCCATGCATATGGGCACTGATTACATTTAATAAATAAGACAATAGTACTTTAGAATGCCTTGAGTGTATTCTGGATACCAAACAGATAATCTAGTCATGTTCAATTTTTTATTACTTTCATGAATGAGCATGAGAAGATAAATTGTCTCAGTGTCGATATTTATGTTTTAAATTTCAGATATCATTCACTCTGGGGAGAGTTTATCAGTGAAGAAAGCAGTGAAGCTACCAGTACAAGGTACTTCTTATTAGTGAAGGTTATTTTTTTACATGCATAATTCTAATTAAAATGTGAAAAAAGGTAAAATTGGATATTTAAACTTATTCATACATAATCATATTGTATGCTTGTAGTGGATTTTAAGACTAACTGAGTCACTCAAGTGACTTATTCATAACCCCTTTTTTGTCTATCCTTATACATCTTGCTAAGGTTGATGCATTCATGGTGGTTTACTTTCAAACATTTGAATTTCATAATCCTTGCCTTCTTGGGATGTTAGGAATGGGGCTTTATCTTCTCCTGCATGCCAAAGGTTCACAGGGAGATAATTACACCTAAACATCCAGCAGTCAAAAGGGTGCCTCTTCCAAAAATGTGGATTTCATGACCCCTGACTCAAGACATCTGTTGAATTTCTGTTGAATGCTGGTCATATATAAAATAATATGATAATATACACTGTAGATATAAATATATTATTTTTGTTGACTGGAACTTGTTTCTTATTTTGATTCTGTTGACAGGTACCTGTGAGAGTTGTGGCTATATCTCCAGTAATCCCCTGTGTAAAGACTATATCTGAGATATTTTATTTCTGTTGACAGGTACCTGTGAGAGCTGTTGCTATATCTCAAGTAACCCCCTGTGTAAGGCCTGTATCTGAGATATTTTATTTCTGTTGACAGGTACCTGTGAGAGCTGTTGCTATATCTCAAGTAACCCCCTGTGTAAGGCCTGTATCTGAGATATTTTATTTCTGTTGACAGGTACCTGTGAGAGCTGTTGCTATATCTCAAGTAACCCCCTGTGTAAGGCCTGTATCTGAGATATTTTATTTCTGTTGACAGGTACCTGTGAGAGCTGTTGCTATATCTCAAGTAACCCCTTGTGTAAGGCCTGTATCTGAGATATTTTATTTCTGTTGACAGGTACATGTGAGAGGTGTGGCTATATCTCAAGTAACCCCCTGTGTTAGGCCTGTATCTGAGATATTTTGATTCTGTTGACAGGTACTTGTGAGAGGTGTGGCTATATCTCCAGTAATCCCCTGTGTAAGGCCTGTATTCTATTGGAGGGACTCAACAGAGGACTGCCAAGGTATACACTCAACAAATCTGTTGATTTAGTACATGTATATGTCATTACAATATGAAATAAAGTTTATTTAATAAAATGTTCAGATAGAGTGTATTTAATAAAATTTTCAGATAGAGTGTATATTTGGAATTGTTTTGAACAGCCATTGTTATTTTCCTTCACAGACTTGGAATTGGGAAAAGTCACAAAGAGAGACGCAAGGTTAGCGTTTTTAGCTCACCTGAGCCGAAGGCTCAAGTGAGCTTTTCTGATCACATTGTGTCCGTCGTCCGTCCGTCCGTCTATCCGTCCGTAAACTTTTCACATTTTCGACTTCTTCTCAAAAACCACTGGGCCAATTTTGACCAAACTTGGTACAAAGCATCCTTTGGTAAAGGGGAATTTAAATTGTTAAATTGAAGGGACATATCCCCTCGCAAGGGAAGATAATCAAGAAAAGACAAAAATAGGGTAGGGTCATTAAAAAATCTTCTTCTCAAGAACCACTGGGCCAGTAAAGCTGAAACTTATATGGAAGCATCCTGGTATAGTGTAGATTCTAAATTGTTCAAATCATGACCCCCGGGAGAAGGGCGGGGCCACAATGGGGAATCAAAGTTTTATATAGAAATATATTGGAAAAATCTTTGAAAATCTTCTTCTCAAGAACCACAGGGCCAGGAAAGCTGAAACTTATGTGGAAGCATCCTGGTATAGTGTAGATTTTGAATTGTTCAAATCATGACCCCCGGGGGTAGGGCAGGGCCACAATGGGGAATCAAAGTTTTACATAGAAAGATAAAGGAAAAATCTTTGAAAATCTTCTTCTAAAGAACCACTGTGCCAGAAAAACCAAAACTTATGTGGAAGCATCCTAGTATAATGTAGATTCTAAATTGTTCAAATCTTGACCCCTGGGGTAAGGGCGGGGCCACAATGGGGAATCAAAGTTTTACAAAGAAATATATAGGAAAAATCTTTGAAAATCTTCTTCTCAAGAACCACTGGGCCAGAAATGCCGAAACTTATGTGGAAGCATCCTGGGATAGTGAAGATTTTAAATTGTTAAAATCATGACCCCCGGGGGAAGGGTGGGGCCACAATGGGGAATCAAAGTTTTACATAGAAAGATAAAGGAAAAATCTTTGAAAATCTTCTTCTCAAGAACCACTGGGCCAGAAAAGCTGAAACTTATGTGGAAGCATCCTAGTAAAATGTAGATTCTAAATTGTTTAAATCATGACCCCTGGGGGAAGGGCGGGGCGCAATGGGGAATCAAAGTTTTATATAGAAATATATAGGAAAAATCTTTTAAAATCTTCTTCTCGAGAACCACTAGGCCAGGAAAGCTGAAACTTATGTGGAAGCATCCTGGTATTGTGTAGATTTTGAATTGTTCAAATCATGACCCCCGGAGGAAGGGCGGGGCGCAATGGGGAATCAAAGTTTTACATAGAAATATATAGGAAAAATCTTTGAAAATCTTCTTCTCAAGAACCACTGTGCCAGAAAAGCTGAAACTTATGTGGAAGCATCCTGGGATAGTGAAGATTTTAAATTGTTCAAATCATGACCCCCGGGGGAAGGGTGGGGCCACAATGGGGAATCAAAGTTTTACATAGAAATATATAGGAAATATCTTTGAAAATCTTCTTCTCAAGAACCACTGTGCCAGAAAAGGTGAAACTTATGTGGAAGCATCCTGGGATAGTAAAGATTTTAAATTATACAAATCATGACCCCTTGGGGATTGGGCCAGGCCACAATGGGGAATCAAAGTTTTACATAGAAATATATAGGAAAAATCTTTGAAAATCTTCTTCTAAATAGCAACTTGGCCAGAAAAGCTGAAACTTATGTGGAAGCATCCTGGGGTAGTGTAGATTTCAAATTGTCTAAATTATGATCAGTGGGGTAGGGTGGGGTCACAATATGTATTACAAGGGGTAAATCTCGTAAAGGACAGAATTGTCAAAGCTTCTCAGGTGAGCGATGTGGCCCATGGGCCTCTTGTTTCTGTTAACATGGAAAATTCATCTTTAAAGTAAAATGTGTTAGAAAAAAAATGAAAATAGTATTCATATTCTAAAGAAATTTTAATGTATATCTTTTGTGAAACTCATTCTCATGGAAGTTTTATTTTAAAATTTACACAACAATATTCAATCAAAGTTTTCCTATGCATGGCTTATTTTTATAAGGAATAAATTAAAAAAAATATTTTGATATTTAGCTGAATGAAATGTTGGCCCAGAAGTCGGAAGCTACTGACAGTGGAACAAATTCAGAAACTTCAAAAGAGACAACTGATGATGCATCAGGAACACTAGGAACAGAGAGCTCAGGATCACCAAACACAAAACAAAAATGTGAAAACTGTACGTGTGGTAGTGGTTGTTTGTCAGACAAACTAGAGAAAGTACAGCTGGACAGAAGAAAAATAGACCCAGCTATGATAGATTTCTGATATATCTTACTATAAGATGAACTGAAATGCAATTGATGTTTTTCTTGCTTCAAATACCAAAAAAGCCCGAAAGATGACTGTAATACATGTTCATACAAATTATAGTAAATTGATTTTCATTCCTTTGACTGTAAAATACATGATTGAAAACTTAAAGGATATACTAAATTAAGTTTATAGAATCATGTAACAAAAGAAATTGTACATCCCTGGCTCTATGTTATAGGCATGTTTTTCGGTATTTCTATTCATATTTCTAGCCAATGAAAAATTTAAAACTACAAATTAGGATTAAATGTAGGAAATCAAATTCATTAAACACTGCATTTGAAAATCTTTTATAGCCATTGAGAGAGACATATGATGTCATATTGCTTAATATAATAATTAATTATTTTGGTTGTAAAATTTACATATTTTGATAAATATTTCGCAATTTTGCAAAATCATCTGTTAGGATTTCTTTCTGAAAGACACGACTGTATTTATTATCACCAGATATAATAAAATGTAATTATTAAAGGCATTTTCATAACTTTGTGGTGTTGAAATCAAATAAATAACTATAAATCAACAGTTTAATTAGATTAAACATCCTCCAAATGCAGTTTCTGCTTTGAGCATAGGCAACTTAAGGAACAGATTTATTTTATTTTTTGTTGCTATTTTTACTTTCTATTTCATTTTTATCCCCGTCAATTCATGTATGCATTTTGGACAGTTTTGGAGAGAAAATTGTATCATTTTGAGTGATATTTTCTTTTCTCAAAATTATTTGTTTATGTTTGATTGACCTATAAAAATGATGAGACAATATCGAATAAAATGACTTAAAATTTACTGTTTTGAATATATTAATTTAAATTTTATTTTTGACATATAAACACTAAATATAACAAGGGCACCACAAGTTGGAGCATCCCCTTGTAAAGAGCATACATAAAAATAGAGGCATCATTCGACTTTAATCCTGACGCAGATTACATGTAAGTCACTATTTTGTTGCGCACAGCAAATCATAAGACTACATGTAAGTTGATGTATGCAAATGTGAAAGGTAAAAAAAAAAGCTTAATTGTTTTATTGGTCTTTAAAAATGAATCTGTTAATAACCGTTATACATACAGAGAGAACAAATCATATAAAAAGTAATAATCTACAGTTTTAAAGTATACCTTAATTAATATAAGTCTATTTATAAATTCTACAGTTTTGTATTGGCAAATATATTAAAAGTAAACTGTCCCATGGATATGGAATACTAATCACAGCATTAAAATCTAAACATCATACAATTCTCAGCAGTGAGAAATGTTTATAAATGTTACAATAGTTCACTTGCACTTTGCAAAAGTTGTTTCCCTTTGCGGGGTCAACCAAAAGGGAAAGAAACGTCATTTCTCCTCTTTGTGCTACCAGATATTTGGGTGTGCTTAAAAAATCCATTGTGTTTAATTTTTTTCCCTTCAAGGTGTGGGTAGCCCCATCTTGGGGCAATCAGTACACAAAAGGCAGAGATTTTTTAAAGTCAAATGACAAAGTTACAAACCTGAAAACTACAAAGGCTACTGTGTGGATTGTATGGGTTTATCCCCTAAGATGGCGGCCAAGGGACATAACTTTTGAAGAGTGTGGATGAGTATATGGAGTCAGATGTAGTCTTTCTACTCCATTGATCATAAATTGTTTTTACATTGCCGCTACAGCGAAATCGTGCTATAGCATCACAATACTAGGTGTAAATTTGAAAATTTTTAAAAAGCTGAAGTGTCATTACTTTGTTGCCGACCAGTTCTCCATATGTTGTCAAGTTTGGAGAAAAATATATTGTAGAGATTGGTTTACAATATTTTCATGTATTTGATTTTCTTCACTTTACCGCTTTTCAGCTCAGCCACAAAAAGATAATCTTTGGAATCTACACATAAACTCTTAATATTGCAGTTATTAATGTAACGGAGGAACTTTCCATCCTTATCTAGGATGTGAATGTATAACTGTCACAGTCTGATGTCAGGATTTGACCTTGACTGTCCGTTGTTATGCCATACGGTGTTATTGCCCCTGAAGCTATGGACGGGTGGCCAGTGTATCGAAATCGAAGCTTTCCAGCTTGACTGACTACCACAACTGCACAAACTATATGGTCATCTACACAGATATCCAGGTTTCTGTTTTCACAGATGTGTTTGAGGTAGTACGATTGATTGATTGATTGTATACTGTTTTACGAAGAAAACAGCAAGTGAACCTTGTCAGCATACTGAATCTTTTGAACCTCTACAAAACCAGAGTTTCGGACAATTTTTGATTGTTTCGTTTCGGCCTTGTCCATAGTGACTAAGATATCTTCCGAGGATGTACTGCAGACATTGTTAGGTTTCCATTCCTTCAGTGTGATGATAATTTTACGTATGTATCTCTTTGTATTTATACACATTGTTGACAGTACGTTTATCTGAGTCGATATACATTAGATCTTTATCCTTTGTCAATGCTATGTCATTTGGTCATTCCTATGACTTAGTTTTGATTGATTTCACTTTTTCCCCCTGATCTACATTGTGGAGTTTCAGGAATTATGTCTACGTGCATGTCCAGATTTCTTCATCGTTGGGACAAATAACGTCACGTAGTCAGTCCAGAGAAGACGCAGCTTCCTGGGTATCAATCCTGAAGCTATATTCCACTGTACCCATGAATAATTTTCTAAAGGAACCTAATTGTTGACAAACAATATCTTTGTGGAATGGTTGCACAGAAACACTGGGTAATGAAGCTTTCAGCTTTGGCGGAAATCTTAATTCAGCGTTTCTAGGTTGGTATGAGGAAATAATGGACCTATCCTTGTTTTCTCGAATTTTCATTATTTCAGTTATGCTCTTTTTCACTTCAGAAATTTTCTTAGTGATTTCCTCTTCATGTTTAGTTAGGACAGTAAGATGTTTCATCTTAGATGACAGCAATTTCAGAATTCAGATTCTTCACGATGGTTTTGATTTCTCTGCGCCTCTCTTCTCCTTCAGTAGTAATAATTTAAGTCGGCTTCTCACATTGGGGGGTTGCGCTGGCTCTCTCACAATTTAACTCTGAGAAAATTTCTTCATACTGTGGACCAATCTTTATTTCAAGTTCTTTCAGGTTTTTCTCCAGTTCTTTTAATTCGGAGATGATCATGAGATTTTGTTGAACATCTGAAATTTTATGCCCATGATGCTTTCCAGAGGAAATGCGGGTAGAACAGTCAGGAATGTCACAATCCTCGCAGAACAGTTCACAAAGTTTGGGGGCATAGTTTGGACATTCTAGGTAGTTAGGAGCTGAACTTTTTGCTTTGTATGGAACAACTCTATGATTTTCGTTCGAATCAGAGAGATTTTCTCCAACACAAGCCTTGTTTAACTTGACAGACTTCACAACGGCCCAGGAAAGATGCAGTCATGCACAGATCACAACGGAGGACGTTTTGAGCGCCAAACTTTGTATCCATAACTGTTTAGTAGGCCTCATGATAATGATCTGTTAATCAGATTGCTAGATGTAATAAAAGTAAATACCCTCACAAAGTGGAATGTTTTCAATTCAATGTTCACTCATTTATATTAGATTGAATATATCTGAAAGAAGAAAAACTGCTCTGCTTAATATGATATATATAGCTAAAACAAAAAAAGAACAGATTTTACAGATAAGAGTAAGATATAGTACTAGTGCTCAAAGAATTTACATAATAAATATGCTTTTAGCTGATCAATAATTCTGCAATCGATTGATTAAAAAATGAAAATGTCATTTTCAGCACAATATCTTTATATATTGAAACAAATAACCGTGCACATATGTTGCATGTTATTACATGTAGTCCATGAGCCAGGTCATGAATTTTTTGGTATCGATACCATCTTGAGTGAATAATTTTCATAGTTATTTTTTGAAGGACATACATCTCTGCCTTCAGAAAATGTATGATAGCATTCAATTGATTGTGGCTTTAATGATGTATCAACCGTTTATATACACCAACCCATCTTGTTCGTTCTCTGAGCAGTGTCTTTGAAAGAAGAAGGTTGGTTTTTCAATATGCAATTTCTATCTTATTTTGAATGATATTTTCTTGAAAATTCTTTTGAATGCAGACCAAGCCTATACCCTTTTCAATTATCATTCAATATTGGCTCTGTAATGAGCCGTCTAATTTATGTAGGAATATAATTCTACCCTTGATCATAAAAGTGGAATATGCGATTTTGAAATTTTAATCAGCTGAAAGAAATTACACGCATCAAAAACATATTGCACGATCATTTACTTAAAGAATTTTTATCATGTATTAGCATTTTAAAATAACATTTCAGTGACAAATATCTATAAAATGATATCATAGTTAATCTTTATGCCTATCCTAAAAAGAATATTGAAGAAAAACTCCCTTGATTTACCCTATGTGTATATTATTTTCTTAACAAAGATATTGTGAATTTGTCAGGTCTCAAGTAGAGCCTTTACGTAAAATGTTTTATTCATTTAATCTCAAGCTAAACCATATAATGGACACTTGTATGTTCTTTTTCTAAGCTAAACGTGCAATTTGTTACAGATTTTTGACATCAAAATTAAGCAACATATGTGCACGGTTATTTGTTTCAATATACATGTATATGTGCTTAGTGGGCAGTGTCTCACGACCTACAATGGCCTGATGCCCCTTCCCTCCACTAGTCCGAGTAGAAGGAACCCGTACCTTCTTATGGGAGATTCCTCTAGCAGAGCTCTCTCTACACAAAGCTCTGAAGGGTCCCAAACCCCCGTTCATTGAGGGCTTGCCTACCTATTACGAATTTAAAGACTGTGCACCGGCGGACTCTGCGGAAGAAATCGTCATGGTTCAATGGAGAAGGTAGACACGTACAGCAAGCACCGTGGGATGCTTGGAGCAATACAAGGAACATATATCACTTCTAGGTAATCCACTGCATTTGTCTTCAATTCCAGACGTCCTGGTATTTGTCTTGCCACTAGATCTAGATGGTTGCGGACGAGAAAGTGAGGTTGGCGACGCGCAACCCCTCTTCACTTTAATCACACTCATCACGCAAGTCATTGTTCATTTTCCATTCCTTCTATCATCCACCCCAAAGCAATGTGGCGACAGGTGAGGAATGAAGATGATAGGTGCGGTTTCATTGGAAGTCGCTAGTCGCGGACCTGCACACAGGCGGCACAGGCCATAGGATTGCTCTTCACCGACCCGAGCAGCTTTTGAGTTCGACAGCCACTTGTGCGACTGAGCAACTCTCTTTAGGAACGCACTGCACCAACTATGGCAAAGAGGAGCCGATTAGAAAAGGTATCCCAAACATTCCCTGATCCACCTTTCTCTAGCCAGTTTACCACGGCTGGTGGGGACCCTACACATGCGATGGAAATAACAAAGAAAACAAGAAGGATCATCCCATTGAACCTTGGATCATGGAATGTTTGAACGCTTCTCGACAGAGACATTACCGACAGACCCCAGAGATGCACAGCACTGATTGTATGCAAACTTGCGAGATATAGCATTGACATCGCAGCTCTCAGTGAAACCAGGATGGAGGTGACAAGGAGAGACGAGAAGCTGGCGTATGATTTTCTATAAAAAAGACGCTTGCTGGCAAGCTAGTCAGCGTACCAAAAGTAGTGAACGACCGCCTGATGACGATGAAACCTCTCGCTCGATGAAAGTTCGCCGCTATTGTCAGCGCATACGTTTCTACCTTCACTAACCTAGAGGAGGCTAAAACAAGTTCTATGAGAAC